GAAATATCGTTATTTTTTATTCTATAATTCCATATTAATATAAATCTATTTTAAATTATTCTTATTACTTATGAAATCAAATTTCACTATTATTTAATATCTTTTATCTCCAATTATGTTTGATTTAATATGTGCATATCCATTTACTATAATTTTTACATTTTTTGGAAATTTGTATCATTATCGTTTATCTTAATGGCAATTAATCTTTAATTATAATTATCCATCTCTCTAGAATTAATATTTTAACGAAATTCTGTCAGAAGTATCAAAGGTGATGTAATTCATCTAATCCAAGTTATTCAACTATTACTTATTTAACTATGGCAGATTAGAATAATACTCGTATCTGAATATACGTGCATATTTAAACGTTTTTTTCAGTGCGGCATAATACAGTAGTATATAGCAGTTCTCTCAATAACTTATACGTTTTCCACCGCTAAGTTTTACTAGCATATTATACCTTAATCTGCATACTGAAAGTCTGTACGGTAATTACAAATACAACTCTGTGCTAGAATCGAATGCATTATCTCTGGCGCTGTATAGTTAGAGCTAGTCGGACACAGTCCTCATTACGAAGCAATAATTGCTATTTATACGATGTAAATAGGTTCGTATGGAGATGTGTAGTGGCTACAAGTTAGTACTAAATTGAGTATATGTTTAAGCAATATCAAATAATAGGTCAGCCGTCTTGAAGACAGGTGTTTTCAGGTTTAAGCCTGTAATAACAATTACAGATTAACTCTTTTATTTTTTTAATTGTATAAACTGACATTTTCAGCAAAAACTATGTCAGTGAAAACAGTTTAATCTGTAATCGGTGGTTTACGTTGTCATTAATATAACGGGTCATAGTCTCTTAATCTCTAAAAGATGTTTGCTACTCTCTTTTCGCTACGCCAAATTAGATAAACGTGCTATCTCTACATGCTCCGCATACGGAATAATTATATCATATCAATTCTATATATAACTTATATATATGTACATAAACTATTTATATAATGTTATTTAATAACTTTCCGCCACTATCGCAGACATAACTTTTGATTTGCATAGTTATTTAATATAAAAAACAACAGATAATAAAAATGTGTAATTTGATACAATAGCTCTATAGAAACGATTCCTAAAAATTAGTACCCGATTTATATTCAAAATGTCGTCATCGCCTATAAATATGACGAGACTTGAATATAAAAATGTTGTCTATAGTGAAATTTCCTTTGCACACTCTGAATAAAAAATATATTAAAAGACGTTGCATTAAGATCCCATAAAGAAAGTTATTACTTAATTTTATAAATATTCATTACTTATTTCTTTTTAATTCACTTATAAAAACATTTTTTATGTAATTTATTAATCATAATAGCATCATAAATAATTTTACAATACAAAGCTTTCAAAATTTTGCCTAGTAATTATTATAATTGCTATATTCTTCAGTTACAGATAGATTTTTTAGGAATGTAGCGATATGTTCACGTGACGTTTTTGCATAGGAAATAGGGAAAGTCTGCAGTCTGGACGCTGACATACTATCTAACACGGTAGATTAAATATTTCCTATAGGAAATATCCCAAACGAATCTAACGAACGAATCATGTTACAAATTATTTTCAAATAATATAGCGTAAATTTTCGTTGACTTAAAAACAAATGCCTCAAGCTCAAGCAATTGAGTTCGTTATGGGCTAATAAAGCTTATCTTTTTAAAACATATGAGTGACAGTCTTGTAAAAATTAGCGAGCATTGAACAAATTTACCGTCAAGCGACGGTATCACTTTCGTTTAGAGAAATGCGTGGGAAGTCTTTGTTGAAGTTATAAAAAGCCACGCAATGAAACCTTACATCAGCCTAACAGTAAATGTTAGTTAATTGCTATAACAAATTACTATACTATCACCTAGATAATTGAATAATTTGATGTGAAATGAAAGGAGGAATGATTGATATATATATGAATTGAATGCATGGTTCCAAAGCTCCATCTACGCCCAAAATTATATAATTGAGAATATAGTATGATATAAAAATTCTCTCAGATTCTCTCAAATCTCATGTTTCTCGAAATATTTATTTATTGCAAAATTATAAATGAAATGTACCTACACGTTGCATTGTTTTATAATTACGTAAAATCGAATTTAGTGTTGACCAATATAGTGTGCGAACGATGTAACTTTTTCATTATTTCGATTAACATACGCTTTTATATCTGTTTTCTTAAGTCCTCGCGCGTTCGCCTATTGCCCTGATTACGTGGTTGTACAATTTGTCGAAGTAATTCGCCACGCGCTGGTCTCATTCGTATTTATCCAATTAAGCCATCAGACGACCAATTTATGTCGTTAGCAGTTTGTAGAGGTCGATGCACGTCATGAATAATGAATATATTAAACTACGAGTACTAGCTTAGTCCTGTGGGTGTACCTACGCGCACAAAGAATAACCAAAGCCGAACTTGACCGTTTCAAGATGCTTATCTTTGTTTTAGAGTTACTAAATAAGGTACACAATAGGTTTTTTTTTTCAAACGTTTTCATTCGATATGCGTGCAAATATACAGATAAAATAAAAAAAAACTAAAATTTATCTATGTTTTGAACACTAGCGAGTTAGCATCGCGTTGCTCGAGTGCGTCCCTAAGCTTGAATGGTTTATTTATATAATAAGAAGATAGATAGATTAACATGTAATTTTACTTTTTTAACTAAAACTTAATGCACTTACATACTATGTAACATAAACAAATATATAAATGAAGGTAGTAACGGCTTGTAATGAAAGTGCCATTAAGTATATTACTTTTAAGTTTTAAGTGAGAGTGTAAAATTACATTAGCGAAACGCACACAGTTACTTGCACACGAAATGCTCTTATTGACATTTGCTTGCGTTCTACTAATGTGTTATTCACATATCAACTGAGTAATCTCGATTAATACGTCAAGTAATTAATGTCAGAAAATTATTTGTTTACAACTTTGTAAAGAATTTACTTATATTTTATTAAATACTAGCATTGCCCGCGGCACCGCCCGCGTCCAGATGACCAAAAACCAAATTGTCAGGTTTTACATATTAGTTACAGAACATTGTAGTTTTTCTCAGAAATGAGACATTTTCCCGCGGTAAAAAGTATCCTTAAGAATTCTAAGATATATATATCCGGGGATATATATATCTTAGAAATTTACCTGGAGGTGATAAATATTATAAAGACAGACAGATATAATAGAAGGGAAGTTGATGGACATTGAAACTCATAAGTATTCTTAATGACTTAATTGTCTCGATTTTACGATTAATTTAAGTAAGAGCCGCTCTGACACGCCTTAATAAAATTAGTTGTCACGATGAGCCCCTCGATTGAGTCACAGTGTATACGATGTCTTTAAATAACCATAATATAAAAAGGTGGTACAAATGATGGAAAAATAAGTATGTATGTTAAATACTTGTTCGAGATTTCACACTTAAATGAAGGTAAGCGTTTCGATATTCTACATATTTTAGAATTTATACTAATATTATAAAGAGGTAAAGTTTGTGAGTTTGTGCGTTTGTGATTTTGTGAGTTTGTGACGTTGTAGGGGGTAATCTCTGGATCTACTGAACCGATTTAGATGAAATTTGGTAAGAAGACAGTTTGAAACCCTGGGAAGGACATAGGATACTTTTAAACCCGGAAATCATATAAAAAGGTTTTAAAGGGGCGAAAATGGGGATGAAAGTTTGTACGGGGAATCAAGCTATATAAAAAATATTTCTATGTTATAAATATAGATTTTTTTATCTTAATGTTAGTTGAATGCTTTATAAGTACTGCTTTAAAAATAGCAATAACACGATGGCACAGAAATCCGATGGACCGAATTTGAATATGAGAATATTATTTATAATATTTTAAAAATTACTATTTAGTGTACTGATTTTTTCTAAATTAATTGCTGCGATTAATTTAATTTAAATTTCAGCAAATTTTATAGATGTATTAAAATATTTTATTATTTTATTAAGTAGGTACCTGATTAAAATATAAAAGTTAAATTCAAAATTTTTTGTGGTAAGAGTAATTAAAATAACATTATACAATCACGTCTCAATATTACTTCAATTATGTAATAATCATAATATGTAAACTTTTCGAAATAAGCTCATTTATATATTACTACTATTTTTATAGTTTGTTAACCGACTTCCAAAAAGGAGGAGGTTCTCAATTCGTCGGAATTTTATTTTCTTTTTTTTATGTATGTTTGCTTTGCATCGGCTGGCACTGACTTCAAAAATATCTGATTAGGTATCTATTCTAAATGAAAACCCCCGTTTAGTTATTTTTGACATTTTAGTGCCTAGCAGTCGGTTTTTATTTTTTGTTAGAAAGTTTTTATTTTGTAATAGTTAAAAAAAACTACATTCAAATATTAATTTATTGGCGGTTGTTTTATATAAACGTTTAATAAATGAAAATAAAACTATACCTATCATATTACAAATGTTCTAGAAAAAATAATCACCCGACATCAGTTACAGATAACCGGGATTTTTAACCAATTTCAAAATTAGGTTGCAATGGCATTCAAATTCTCAGTAACGATCCGATTGTTTATTTAACCCTCTTTCTATTTTACGTTAAAACTGGTACATATGGGTTACAGATGAAAACACAATAAACCTCATTTTTAATTAATTCGTATCTGGGATGTATAAACTATTGTATAACACTATCTAGACATTTTCATAGGATTCTAACAACGGTTTATAACAACAGAAATAGGTATGCATTATTTGAACGTATTGCAATGATTGTTGATTGTGCTGTCGCCTAAGGTGACATTGACTTTCTTACTGTCGTGGGACTGATATCGCAGCGGCTGATGGTTGGCGCTCCGGTAGCCGCGCATATGCACGCCGCACGCCGTCACGCGCGCGCGCATCCACGCTCCGCGAACGCGAACGCCCGCACGCCGGGCCCGCGATATGCCCGCAGTGAAAGTATTTAATATATTCGGTGGGCAGAAGCCGGCTGAGAAGCAACCGACTCCACCCCCCGCTCACGGGGCGATGCAAAAGTTCTACAGGACTTTTTCAGTCGCTCCCGAAAACTCGACCGAGCATAAAGGTGGTAAAGTGACCGCGATCGCCGCCTGCCTTGAAAAAAGGATCAGTGAGCCAGCAGTACTTAGTAGTGACCACGTGCAAAAGTTATTAAATAAAGTAAACATAAACGATTCTGTGAATGGAATATCGGACAATTTGAAAGGACGTGACCACGCGTACGAGAACGTAAACATTGCAGTCGCAGCTAGTTTACCGACGATTAAAAAGAATTTACTTGATGAATCTAAAGGATATTCATCAATATACGAAAATATTACTATTGTTGGTAAGCTTTCTAATAGTGATAAAGAGGAGAGTCAGACTACTTCTGAATCAAAATTAAACAGAGCTCTTGAATCTTTTGATAAAATTTTATCAGAATTTTCTACCAACCTGTCTTTAAATCCATGTTTGAATTCAAGCAAGAACAGTTTTATCGTGCCGAAATTACAAAAATCGAAAACTTGTAGCATAATAGAGTCACGTTGCATTTTGAAAAAAACTATTTCAGATCCCGAAAGTGAACGAAGGGCGCGAAATCAAGTGAAACGTAACAACTCAATCGATAAAACCACAAGTTTGTGGAATCTCGACGATATGAAGGGGAAAGAATTAACTAGCCCACTGAAGCCGTTGACTCCAACAATTAACGATAAAATGAATCCCGATAAATATGCTACCTATAAAGTGTCATCTAAGAATGTACCTCGCACTAACTGCATTAAGACGGAAGAGCTAAAGAAAATGGATGTGAAAACAAGAATATTGAAAAAGACTTTGTCAAATCCACCATCAACACCCGTCCCAGTGGTTTCAAAAACAAAATTAATAACTAAAAAACCCGAAAAGAAAGTTACTGACCCAAAAAAAGTAAGTAGTAAATCTAAGAATAATCTAGACTCCAAGCAATTTTTTGATAATACACAAAAGTCGCAAATGCAAAAAGCAAAAAGCGTTTGGGAAATTGGGAACGAAACAATGATAACACCTAGCCTAGAGAGAACAAAATCAAGTACTTCTATCGCGGGCTCTCCTAGTAAGATCCCGGTGATCAGGAGTCAAATGTCTCAGAACAAATTCAGCAGTACTCGAGCACTTTTTTCTCCCACTCCGGTTGATCTAATTGATATAGACCAGGCCAGAGAGTGTGCTCAGAAAAAAAAGCCCACTGTGTCACGAAAAACCGCAGAGAAACCCGATCAAACGAAACAAATAAAACAAAAATCTCAACTCAATTTAAAGTCTGATTCAAAGCGACAATATGATAAAACCAAGAAAGATGCTCTCGATAAAAAAGCAATGTCATCTCATAAAACGGCATTAAGAGACTACTCAGATGAAATAAATGCTGTTCGAGCTAAACTACAGCAGAAAAAAATCAACAACAAGAAAGATTACGGCGGAGAAACGCCCCAACCTAAACAAAATGAAACCGAGCCTGCAACAATCGATTGCGACCTGTCACCTGTCAAGTACATCGTAAAAAAACTCGAGTGTAAAACCGCCATTGAATCTAAGACAGAGCCCGCCTTCTTCGTCAACTGTAAAGTAATACCGCCGGTACATAAAGAATTATGCGTGGCGAACACAACATTCCACAATCATTTGAGCACACTCGTGGGCCGCCAAATAAAGTACGTCGAGTCAAGAGACGATAGCAAAACATGTTCCCAAGCGGAGAAGCTCGCTTTACACAAACATTCCGAGGAGAAGATATCAGACACGCACTCGGATTGCAGCGACGACTCGGGTCACGTTTCGAACGACGCCGCGACCGATAACGATGTGGTATTTGATAATATACACGACGTCAGCCCAACATGCAGCGTGGACGAGGTCGATTGTAATATGTTTAATGGACCCAAACAATTCAGGATAGATTTACCCAACAGTGCAAAGAGTGTATGTCCCGTCCGTCCAGCGCGGCGAGGTGAGCGCAACCAGGTCGCTAGCGGTACCTGCGCCACCGGCATCGACGCTCCGAAAGTGGACGAGCAGGTACGCGGCACTTAACATATTGATAACAGCAAATTACAGGTGCTATTTGTTGCGACGAACTAAACTCTCACTGTAATACCGGTATAATAGTTACAAACTATAAACAATTTAGATCTTGTGCGATATCAGCATCCAATCACTCGATTGCGAATGATAGTACAAAATTACTTTATTATGTAACCGAACGTTCAAAGACTCGAATGCGAATACTATGTGTAGAATTTCATGATTATTCAATACTTAAAACATGTTTAACTTGTTGCCAAATTACTACAAGATTGTAAAATATTTAATTTTGCGTCAATTACATCGAGAAATTGTTCGCGTGACACACAAACATTAATTACGACAATTTGCATAACCTTACTTCCGAATTCCTACTTCATAGAAATATCAATACCATTATGATAATTATGTAACTTCCTACACATTCTTGATTTATAGAAAACTCCCAATATTTATGCAACACTCATTAAGAATGGTCTCTTAAATTCTTTTCAAATGAGGCATAGTTAATAACTTATACAATCTAATACGTACCTATATCTTATAATGATATATAAATATAATTGTGCTCTTCACAATATTACTTCCGAAACATTGCGGTCAACATCGTAAATGTAAGAATTTTAATACAAAGTCTAATCTGTCTTACGAACTTAATGGTTTTTTAGTATTGCAATATTTCTCGACAAGTGCACTGCAGGGGTCAGTGCTGGAAACTGATTTATTTACGCTCTTACTTTCACTAGACTGCGAGATTCTTAATAAAACTTTTTGCGTCTTTCATCGTATTATGACGTAAACTACACATACCGTAAATCGTAATAAATAAGAAACAATGCGGTCAGCTATTTAGAAATTGCACAAGCATATAAATTATTTTGCCAATTGCGAAATCGAATCTGATTTAAAATGCAGATCAACCCCTTAAGTGGTTTCGCAAATAAAATGCAATGCTTTCTTTTAACTTTCCTTAGTGTTACGTGCTCCAAATTAAAAACACAGTGAACGAACCGCGCCTGCGCCCTGCCGTTACATGCTTTACATGTGCATGATAAATGATAATAGTATGATATGTTTAAAGTTTCATATACACATGTTTAATTGCTATCACAAAGTGTCGTATTCAAGTACATATAATAGTATCACAACGAATACGTAATTTTGATCTACACCTGACTATAAATTGTTTGAAAGTAAAATTCATCAGTTTATTAAAAAATTTATTCGACTTTCTACTCTCAAAGCAATTATGCTCGCCATTCGAATAACAAATATATCATCTTTCTTCCGTCGGTCTTACGACCATAAAATAAAGCCGACATTAACCATTTAATACGTAATCGTCACTCGGTATATAATGATATATGTACATATATAGACTTGAAATAAGATATATAATATAAATTTGTTTTTTTTTTGAATTGTGGAGATTTGAATAATGGAATTAGAGTAACTCAACTTAATAACAAAAAAGTACCATCATTTTGTAATAAATTTAAAACTATCGACATTACTGTTGTTTTCTTGTATAATTGAAATTCTCATTCTCAAATGGTACATTCAATTTGCCCAGTCACGTATACTATTTCGTATGGAATTGCTATCGTACATTGTTATCCGCTCGACGGGCACATGCGCATCACGTCCAGCTTTCCCCGCGCACGCGCAGGTCCTTTCTTTCTCTAACGTAATTGTTATTACTGATCCCTTGTTGATGTTATAATTGAGTGGTTTCTTCAATAATAACAAATCCTACGATATAAAAATAGAAATAGATCTTCCCAATTTTAAATTAAATAATTTTAAATCACTTAACCTTTTATCTCGACGTTCTTATACTCGTTTTGTTACCAATAAACAAAACGCTTTATGCTACATAACAGTGTAGAAAAATTTATAACCTTAATGTATAAATTCTATAAATAAGTACATAAATAAAAATGATATGATGCTTTCTTCGATTTACACGAATATTGGACATATTAAATAAAACTATCCTTTCGGATTATTTCGCGGATTTATTTTGATTTTTGGTTCCCGACGTTTCGAATGTTTTACAGCAATCACGGTCACGGGAGAAGCTCATGTTTTATGGTCTCAAAAGCATTATATACCTGTTACAGACATTGCCTACCCTCAATTTTACAAAAATAATTCATAAAATCAAAAATGGTACAATATTCGTTGATTTTAATTCTAAACGTTTAAATTTTTAAATAAGTAAATAAATATAATTAAATATGACAATATTATCTATTTAATTTTAGCTGTTTTATTAGGTATACATTTTTTTTTTAAATCATTAATTCATTAAAAAAATGTAATCTATAAAGGTTGCTTAATATTCATTTTAATTTTAAATAATAGCAATCTCAATTAATATTTTAACTTTTTTAAATTACATATAAAACAATAATATAGCTTAAACAAATAATTAATATATTTAATTTTTATATAATTTTTATTTTTGATAGTATCTACTTCAAGATTTTATAACATTTCAACTATCTATAGATTTTTTTGGCTTCAATGAAAAATCTTATTTTAATATAACGAAAAACATAAATCTATATTATTTATATTTATGAATTAGAAATTACGAACATCTACTCGTATATGAGAATCAACCAATAGTACAGCAAAAAATATATTAAAATTGTATAATTAGCTCCAGAAAAAAAAAATTGATAAATCAGCAATAAATTTGTTTTTATGACTTCTCTATCCACTGCAATCATACACTGTCAGTACTTGCACAATGCGATTAACGTCGTCTCATTTCTTTTTTGTATGGCTTTCGGCCTCGTTATGTACGTATAATGACTGATTTTATACGGGCACATGAGTACTATAACGTTTCACTTTTTCAAAGCAATTATAAAAAAATATATTTCTTTATAGCTATAAATAATTAAAATGTCTTATGTAATCCTCCTTAATACATGGTTAGGTCTTAGATTATAAGCTAATATGGTTGGTTCTTGGTTAGAACTCTTTATAAATTTTAAAGAAATTATTTTATATGTATATTTATTTGTTTTATATGCATATTACATTTTTGTGTGTCTGTCTATTTATTCGCTCATCACTTTAGGGCAGGAATTTTATTTCATCGGCTAAAGTAAATTCAAATGTAACATTGCGCTGGTTGTTATTTGCGCAATATATCCTACACAAAGTAAGGGTCTAATTAATGAGTGATAAGATTGCAAATAATATTATTATATAGGACTAGCAGTATCCGTGGCTACGCCCGCGTCCAAACTTCCGATCGCTAACAAAATTCACAGGATCACCCGCTGGGCTAATCTGAAGATTACCTGAAAATTCCACCAAAATCGTTCCAGCTGTTTTGGAGTCCATAGGAAACATACATACACACGTCGAATTTTATTTAATTTAATCAACAATTTAAATTTATTTATTACGCAGAAAATGCAGTCGTTTATGAAAATTTAGTGACACACCGACTGCAGCGCCAACTACCGGATCCATTTGTAAATTCAAATTTCAAACCTTGCAGGGACCCACTCGAACATACACAAAAAATATCATTAAAATCGTCCCTGCCGTGTAGGGAGATGATCAGTGGCACAACGACTGCAGCGCCACCTACTGGGTTCACTTGTGTTTTCAAACCATCCAGGAGCACATTGGAAAATACACACAAAATTTCATCCAAATCGGTCTAGCCCTTTAGGAGGAGTATGTTAACAAACACACGTACAGAAGAATTATATATATTAAGATTTGCACGCGGCGGATGAGAAGATAGAACCGCCATTTAGTATTTTTTAAATTGAATGGTAATAAGAGTATTTTAGTGTTATATCTATCATATTATATCTTGGTAAAAAAAATCCTAATGCATGCCATTTGTTTACTTAAAATATAAACAACTTTCTATTTATATATTTGAGCTCGCTTGCAGCGTCAACAGGTTATTAGAGTAATTTACGAGTACACGCAAATAACACATGTACATACTCGTATGTATACATAACACAATACCTTCTGAAGTGGGTATGAGGACTCTAAATAGTTTTCGTTTATTCCATTTAATCTTTATTGATGTTAAAATTTTCGTAAATTACTATCAAAACACGGGGCCTGTTGCATTTTTCTACTTTATTATTGCAAGGTTTCAACTAATCTTTGAAATCGATATATAATTGTTTTAGTTTTGGTATATAAGCACTTGATTGCACAAAAAATATACAATCATTTTCGACAAATAAGCGAGCATACGTTGCAGCCATGATATTGACTTCACTAGAAAGACGCAGGTGTATAATAACGTCTGACCCACAGTTTTATTCGTACATAATTAAGTATTGTTAAAGCATGGAGCTTTCGCAAATGATGATGTAAAATTAATATGTAGGTATTAAAGTTTCTATTGAAATTGAATTGTTCTATGGACTATTGACTATACTAATTGTTCTAAATTATGTACATACTACATGTTTTAAAAAATATAGGTCATTTAATATCTTTTTGCAATAAACTTTACACTATTGGATTAGGGATAAAAGATAGCTTTTATCGCTCTCTCCGGATCTATGTATGTATGTATACATAAGTATGTATATAGATGGGTAACAACTGTTAATTCTCTTCCCTTTTCTGCTTGAAGAAAGATAAACAAATAAACAGTATATTAAAGAGACTACACTAAATGCAAAATATATTTTAATTAAAATTTATTATTAACTATGTTTAAAATTAAAGTAATAAGAATTTCAATATAAAATAGCGTATTCATTCATGGTCTTGAGTCGCTTGTTGAAATGCAGGTGTAAACGTCGTGTCTGACCCACTATCTCGCATGTTCGGGATCCACAGTAATGAACTATCATTTTGGCTTACAGCTTTCGCTAAAGCTACAACTTTGCTAATACTAAGTGTCGTTTCTTGTATAAATAATGTCTGTGCAAATTGATGTTAATGTTTTTATTCCTTACTAGCGGCTCACCGGTACGTTTTAAATAGTT